CCGATTTGAATAATGAATGGGCGCGTCTCGCCTCCGGAGCCCCGCCCCGCCCACCGGCTTCGTGTTGCCGACCCAACGGCTGTGCGGGGGGCTGGCTGGCTGGGGTAGCGCAGCAGTCCTCTCTCTCTCTCTCCAAGTGGCCGTGGCTGAATGTAAGGCTGCGGCGGAGGTAGGCAGGCAGGCAGCACGAGCGCGGTCGGTCTCATGCCTCTCCACTGCCTCCTCCCCCTCCTCGGCTCTCCCCTCGGCCCTCCCCGCCCACATCTTCTCTCCATTGATAATGCACGCGCTCTTCGCCCACTTATCGCTGTGCGTCGTATCGAGGAGAAGGAGGAGGACGACGAGGAGGGCGGCTAGAGAGGAGGGGGAGGTCAGGCCAGGTCGGATTTCAGGCCGGCGTCGACGTCGACACGTTTCTGTCTCTCCTCGTCTCCGTCCTCCTGCTCTCCCGCAACTTGCAGGAGGATGGGGCGGGAGAGGGATTGCTGACGGGTAGGGAGCCAAAGTGAGGCAAAGTTGTTATACGAGGACGACGGGTCTGGGGGCGAGTCGGGTCGGGCCGGGGTCGGGGTCGGGACGGTCGGGGCGGCTGGTGAGCGCCGGGAGGGCGGGCAGCGCGCGCCGCGTCACGCACAGCTGCGGCGCGGCCGGCCTACCCTCCGGTCCGCAGGCTGATACCGCCGGGAGGGAGGAGGAGCAGGAGGCACTGCAGTCGTGCGTGCGAGAGAGACAGAGAAAGAGAGAGAGATAGAACGCTCTTTTACTCGTTCTGCTCTTTTCTCAACAAATTCGGCCCCGTCCGATGGTGCGGGGGTGAGGGTGGGGGAAGGCCGTGGATTAAAGGGTCGGCGCCAGCGTGCTTAGGACTCCGCCGGGAAAACACTGGGTCTTCTCTGCCCCCTCCTCTCGGCCCCACGCCGCCAGCCACCGCTGCCGCCGCCTAACGCCATCCAATGCATCTCTGACCTCAGCCTGTGAGGCAGCAGCAGCAGCTGACTGCCCGGAGGCGGCCAGAGGCTGCCAGGGCTCGCTTAATCAGGCCCGTCCTCCCCTCGCCGCCACCCCCGCCTCTATACGACCTTGGCGGGGGGCGGAGTTAGTGCCGCCCGCCCGCGGCGGCGCCTTCTAGGCTGGCGCCTCTTTTCGGCCGTCGCAAAACAGAAAGACGAGTCGTCGTTTGCTCCCCCCCCCCCCCCAATCGACGGCGGCCTTCGATCGCTCTTACGAAGACTCGTCTTGTAATTTACACTCGTTTGGCTTTGAGGAGGGCCACGGCCTCGCCGCCGTGGCCGTGGCCGTGGCCGTGACCGTATCGCCGTGGTGGTGCCGCGCGCTTCAGGGACACTCCTGACGGAGGGGTGCGCCTCCACACGACGTCGTCGTGCCGGCGGTCTCGACTTGCAGTGTTGTGGCGGTTGCGCACGCGGTGTCGGATCGGGTTGCCGTCCGACGCCACAGCCGGCTCGGGGGTGCTGGGGGGAAGGAGGAGGGGGATGGCTGTTCTCTGGCGGAACGGAACATCACCCCCAGCAGCATGGCAGCAGCGGCCCGCCGGGGCCCGCCAGGAGGGCTGCGGGACCATAGTGAGGGTCTCAGTACAGTCTGCGGCAAGTCGTGTAACGTGCCTCTACTTGCCACCCCGCATGCCTCCGGGCGAGGCAGAGGAGGAGGGTTTCTCATTACATGACCTCTGGCGGGACGGGGGCGGGGCGAGGCGGGGCGAGGCGGGGCG